AAGCCTGGGTCCACCATCAGGCTGGGCGCTGGGGACTGTGGCCTCTCTCTGACACCTCTGTGACTTGCCTTCCTGTCATCTGGGCTGAAACCAGCCCCAAACCCACAGCCACTGTTGAGGTGGGTGAAGGTGGGGGTTCCGTCCAGACCAGAGGCAGGGAGGGAGGAAGCCCCCCTTACCACCCAGAGGTCTGCCCCCTGGGCCTGTGGGACTTGCTGGGTCTGGAAGCCCAGCCCCTTCCCTCCTGGGTGCTCGCTACTGCCACCACGGGGCCCCCGGCCATGTTGGGTCCTGGTTGTTTCCTGTGGAGATCCCCAGTGTCCCCTGAGGATTCTGGGTGCCCCCAGAGACACCAACATCTCAGCACGGAAGACAGGGACTCTGGCCCCAGGAGGGAATGATGGGTTTCTAGAGACCTGAGCTCATCTAGGTGCTGCAAAGCATCCCTTTGTTGTCCTCACTGGGCTCAAAGGGCACAGAGGACCGGGCTGTGGTCCAGGAGTGTGGGAACCCCTCTTCCTTCTCCTCTCAAACCACTGTCTGGTCCTGTCCCATGCTTGGTGGAGAATGATTCTCAGAATGTCAAAGGGCGGGAAAGCCTGTCTCTGGCGGGTGGCCGGCCTCTGGCTGGAATTGAACTTGGTGGACAGAGATCCTCCATTCAGAAAGCAGGGAGTGTGAGAGGGGGATTGGCTCCCAGTGCTGTGGGGGTGCGGGCGTGTGCAGGAGGTGAGGAGAGGTGAGGAGAACTAGCACTACATTGGCACCTCTCATACCTTTCCTGTGCATTTTGACAAAGCTTGATCATGCATCGGATGTATGAGGACAGCTGAGCAGAGGTCTGAGTGTCCTGGGGCGGCCATTACAGATGCCACAGACCTGGACCTTTAAATAAAACTTGATTCTGTCACAGTGTTGGAGGCTGGAAGTCTACAATCAAGGTGTCAGCAGGTCCCACTCCTTCCAAAGGCTCCAGAAAAGGTGCCTCCTCCATCTCATGGTGCTGCTGGCAAACTCTGTCTGCAGGTCCAGCGAGTCTGTCTTTTTTGGGGGACACTGTGAGCCTCAAAAGAAAAGGGGCCTGCTGCTCTCCTTCCCTCCCTCCCCCTTCTCTTAGCTCAGGTGCCAGCCCCCATCCCATCTGTGCTCCTGCTCTGTGCTGTTTCAGAGCATCCGATTATTTGTCATTTATTTAGTTCCTCACCGAGGACATGCTTATGGATTTTAGGGAGAGGAAGGCAGTGAGATGTGAGAAACATCGGTCGTTTGCCTCTTGTATGTGTCCCGATCGGGGAATGACCCCTCATCCTAGGTATGTGGTCTGACTGGGAATTGAACTTGAGACCCTTCAGTGCACAGGATGAGGCAAAGCATCTCATTTCTTTTTTTTTCATGTGCAAACTGTCATCTTACCACTGAAATGTGTCCAGACCGATATTTTTATTATTTTTATTTTTGTATCTACACCCATGGATATTTTTCCATTGATTTTTAGAGTGAGTGGAAGGGAGAGCGAGAGACAGAGACAATGCTCGATGTGAGAGAGACATATTGTTTGTGCCTCCTGCATGAAGCCTGACCAGGGCTCAGGTACCTGCAACCAAGGTATGTGCCCTTGACCGGAGCTGAACCTGGGACCCTTC